ATACTAATTCTTATTTAAGTCTCATCTAAGAGAGAGAGGAAGTGTTTTAAAAACAGCACGTTAGAAAAAGTAAAAAAGTCATGCAATAAATAACAGTAACTGGTTTTATTATGCTACCAATAAACAAAATTATACTTACCTTAACTAAAAGTTAATTTCCAGCATTTCTTAATTAAGTTCCAGCTTCTCTTTAGCTGTTGACAAATGATTAATATTGCAAATTTCACATCATATTAAATTTACAAAATTGAAACCATGTTTCAACAGTAAGCAAAATAATCAAGTGATGACAAAGACAACTAAAAAAAAAATGAACACAATTATGTTTAAAGGGACTACCAAGTCCCGAGACATGTTGTGTTCTTATTAAAAAGAATGTTAAAAAAAAGGTCTGAGCAAATTTTTTTTGATTAAAACTAATTAATAAATGTATACCAAACAAATCTTGTTGTTTTAGTCAAAGCTCGTCTTTTCCAGGCGCATTATACAGACTTGATAATTTATTCAAGCGCGTTTAATTCATAGGAGTTTCAGTGTATGACGTCATTGGAAACATTCTAGAAATTCTTTAAAAATTTTACTATTAAATTTTACTAAAATAGCTAACTATAGTTACTTATTTTATTTTTTAAAATCTTCACATTAAAAAATATTTTGTTTATAATCCAATAAAATAACACGCTGTGTCTCATCAGTTACGCCCCAAACGGGGGAGGGGGGGCGGGTAATAACTTTAGGTGTTCTTTTTTTAAAATTTAAGATTAGTTTTAAGAATAATTTTACCAAATTTAATTTTTTTTTTCGTTATGCCTAACATTCAAAGTTTTTTTAAATGATGAGACCCTTATGACATGTTTTATAGGGAGGGGATCTCCAACTCTCTTTCCATTGCACTGGTAGCTATAATTTAAATTTTATCAATGTTTAATGTTTTTATATGATATATAATACTTATAAAGATACTAATAAAAAGTTGATTTGTATTGTTTTGTAAATTTTAATTAGAAGCTTTTATTTCTAAACTTTTCTTATGGTATTATATATGGCCGTCACCACCGGTGTTGACGGCCCCCCAACTTTTTTTTAGGATAACTATATTTTTCTTGAAATGTAAGATTTTTTTTTTTAAATTGGGGAGTGAGCCTCTTTGAAACTTTCCCCACTTTGCAAAGTGGGGAAAGTTTCAGCGTGTCTGAATATATTTAATTAAAATTGTTTTGTAAAACTTGTAGGATAATTTTGATTTTAAAAATTGGAATGAATATTTTTGAAGATTGCAAGAAAATGTTATTATTGTGTTGATGATTCGACAAATAGAATAAATACAAGTCAATCTTTTATTTGTTATTCACGATGTTGTTTTTTAATTTGAATGCAAATTCGACATAAATTCAAAAATACTCAATATAATGCATTTTTTAAACGTGTACTGTGACCGCATTCACTATGTGAACCTTCTGTCTTGAATTTTTACCTAGTTATATTTATTATTACATTGAATAAAAAACAGCTGCGTGTAATTTACGTTAAATGTAAATTTTATAAATAGTTACAAAAATTTATTTATTTTTTAATTGTTCGTTAGTTTTTTACAAATCTAGCGAACAATTAATTAAACCAAGCACTAAGAAAAGATATAAAAATTAAGAATATACTAATAAAATATATAATTTGTAATTAACTTTCAAAATTTTGACAATTTAAAAAATATATATTTTAAAACATTTATTTTTGTAAACAAATGGTAATAGTTTAAAAGTTTTACGGCTTTACAGATGTGGCTCCGTGAATGAGCCATAATATTAAAGTAATAGTTCATTTGATAATATATTCTTAAAAAAATTTATGCTAAATATCTCAAAACGCAACAAATCGTAAATAATACCATAGTCATAAGAAATAGATAGTCTGGCCACTTGCGGTATTTCTTTGATCAACTCTTTGTTTGCCTTTTTTTAGTGTCCAGTCCCACGCAGAGTGCACAAAGTTTATTTTCGTCGATTGTTTGTCTATGAAATGCTTGTTAAAATACATCTTCTTCATCGAATTAATTAAATGCCTGGTGCTAATTGTTCTATTTATGGGTGCAGTACTTCTAGGAGGCATAAGGGAGTTTCAATATTTAAAATTCCTGCATCTAGCGATAGTTTTAATACTTCTTGGAGGAAAAATCTAATTGCCACTGTACTTAAAGATCGTATTGAAGATTGTAATTTGAAAGCTCAAATAGAAAGTAAATCTCTGTTTATTTGTGAAAAGCATTATCTTCCAGAAATGATACTTCATAACAATAACAGAAAGTCACTAAAACCTGGATCATTACCGACTATGTGCTTACCGAAAAAAGGTTTTATGTCATCGATTCCTGTACAAAGAGAATCTGCTTCTTCTATCATTGCTAAAAGAGATGCTTCAATGAATTCAAATAATATAATTACCTTCAAGCCTATATATAAATCATATGAAGAATTTACAAATCGTATTAGCAAGTTAAAGATTTGTGAGTGGACAGTGAGTGTGAGTCTTGTTGTGGCAGAATTTAAACTTTATGACACAATTCACCTATGTCCTCGATATGAAATATATGTTGATGACAGTCTTGCTTTTACCATTCGTGTATATTTTTGGCTCATTCCAGATGATCACTCAATATATACAAAATACAGAAAACCAATGCGAAATATTTCAGCTTCAAATCTTATTTCTGTTGTTACTTCTTTTAGCCTTTGCTCTGGAATAACTAATATATTTTCTTTAAAATCAAATCTTTATATTAAACATTGTATTTCTAAAAAGTTCGATTTATTTTCATCTAGGACTGAGTTTCCCCTGAATCAGACAGAGTATTTTCGATCTCAGTCATGTATTATGCTGATTGATTTGATGTTATCATGTTCTCAATGCAAAAGCATTGAAAAAAATGAAATCATAAGTTTGAAAAAAAATATTACTAATGCTTGTATCCCTGCTAAATTAAATGCACCAATTAAATTTACATCTCCAGATCGTCTGAAGCTTACATTACAGTGTTTTCGCCTGGAAAATAAAGAATTAAAAATGGAATTAGCTTTGATGAAGCAAGAAATTGAAAATTCATCACTAACTATAAGTAAAGATACTGAAAGTGATTTAGTTAAAATAATGTCAGGAGCTGATAAAAGCAAGATTTCTCCATTTATGAACCTGTTTTGGGAGGAGCAGCAAAAATATTTAAAAAGCTCAAAACAAGGAACTCGTTATCATCCAGCAATAATACGTTACACTCTAAGATGAATTCAGGGAAATTATTACATGAGTTGTTCATGTAATTTTTTCGCCCTTAAAATCAGGCCAATTTCCTGATTTTCAGTTAATTAATTCAGGCGATTTCGTTCTCTGATTTATTCAGGCGCTCAAATCTAGAAAAACGTGTTGAGTCCATATCGAAATATTTAAAAGGGAAATTTCTAGCGTGGTAAGTACATGTACAGCGTGGAAATTTCTATAAAAATTGAGTGCTTTGTTGTAAGAGTTGCAAAATAAAAGCTTTTAAAATGTTATACTTATTACGGAAATTAAGTTATTATAATATAATTATTGTATTCAAATACTTAATATATTGTATATGAAGCAATTATAATAACTTCATATACAATATATGAAGTTATTATAAATTTCATAAAATTTATGAGTTATTATTTATAATATATCATGGCCTACTTAAATCAATCTTAAGTCAATAGAAGTTATACTTAAGTCAATAGAAGTTATACTTAAGTCAATAGAAGTTATACTTAAGCCAATAGAAGTTATACCTTCTATTATATAAGTTTAACTTATAATTATATAACTTATAAGTTATATTTTAGGTATAACTTCTATACTTAAACGTCACGTAAAACATTGCAGTCATGCTTTTTCAATTAAAAATTTGCAAAACAAATTTTAAAGATTTGATGTAGCAGTGTCAATGTAGGAATCAAATGTAGATCTTGTATTGCTATTAATATTTTTTATAATAATTTGTAAAAAAATTTCATATCAATTGAGAAAAGATCAAGTAAAAGAATTCTAAAAGAGACAAAGACAAAATAAACATTTCTAGCAAAAATGTTTTCATTCTTTCAATTTCAATTATAAAAAAATACAAAACTACAAACCTTTTTTTTTGTTCAATGGAGAGTTTTAGGCAATCTTAGCAACATGAAAGATTATTTTTAGTAGCATGTTGGTATGTGTTGATATAGTTATCTGAAAGCCTATTTCAGTATTCTGTGTTGTTGGAATAAATTGAAGCAGGCAATCAGTTAACAGAAAACGCAGCACAAAATAATTTAAGTACTCAAAGAAGATCTAACTATCATTAAACCATTTTAATAAAATTATAATAAAACAATTAGAGTGCAAACAAGACTTTTAACCATAAAAAAATGAAGTTTTTATACTTATGGCGTAAAAAAACTGGCTTCTTTATTTTTTATGGAAAATGCAACAAATCAGGCCGTGTAATTTAAGTAGGCCATGGATAAATAAAGTTTAATTAACTGGTTTCTTAATATAAATTAGTTTTTTTGATTTACTTGACAATTGAGTATGGCTCAATTACCCTCTGAATTGTTTCATGCGTTTCTTGAAGAATTGTCTCTCAAGAAGTTAGAGAATAGTATGCAGGTTCTTGAAGGTATGTTAATTTTCTGTACATTAGACTTGATTAGTAATTTATTTTTTTAAATAAAATTTGGAAGTAATAATTTAAATAAACTTAATTTTCAATTTACTTGTAGTTCTGTAATACCTTCAGTACTAAATGCAAATTTAACAGCACTAATTAAAGTTGAAATAAATTCAAAAAAATATTAAATGTATGTTTTTATATATTTAAAATATAATATTTGAATTAAATGTTAAATTATCTATTTTGTCTATATAAGAAAAAAAATTAAATCCATTTTTTTAATTAATATTTTTTAAGAAAATGGTATTGATGCTGATGCGATGGTGCTGGTTACCATTGAAGATTTAAAGTTAATGTTTCCAAAGCTTGGAGATTTTTTAAAGATTAAGAGTGTATTTTTAGCTATATATTCTAAGGTAATTTTTCAACTAAAACTATTTTTTCTGTTTACAGGTTCACTAATAAAATTAATCAATAAAAATGCAATTAACATGCTTTAAATGTACTCGCAATTTCCCTACAATAAATTTTTTACTTTGCCATTTGAAAGGTATACATGCACTTGAGGAGCCATGTGAACTAATATGTGGCCAAAAAAGATGCAAAAGATTATTTACATCTTTTCATAGTTTTCAAAAACATGTGCGTTCTCATATTAAAAAGCAAGCTCAGAAAGTGCCTTTTGTTACTAATCAATTATTTGATTTACCACAAAGCAATATTAATACCCAAGACAGCTTTATGCCAGAAGATTTTAATAATTTTAATGATGCTCCTGATGCACAACCAGTTCTTGATATAGCTGAATGTTTTGACCATAGAGGAATATTCTTACCAGCTGCCAGGTTTCTTCTTAATCTAATGTCTGCCGCTATTCCATTAAGCAATATAAATGACATCCGTAATGGTTTGGATGAGATGTTTTCTGTTTTTGCTTGTGCTGTGCAACATAAAGTCAGTGAAGTATTCACTATGAATAGTTTAGAGAATAAAAACACTGCAGAAATTTTTCTTACTGCTCTTAAACATCCATTCCAGAATATTGACACTGTGAAAAAGCTGAGTACATATCTAGAAAAGGTTGGTGCATTAAATATCCCTACTGAAATTGTATTGGGACATCGGTGGGAAACAAAGATGGGCAAGCAAGTTCAAGTAGAAGACACTTTTATGTTTGTACCCATCAGCAAAACCCTTAAGTATATTTTTAGACATTCAGATTGTTGGTCAGCCTGCACTTTTAACAAAACTGTAGCTGAAGGTGGAATCTTGTGTGACTACCAAGATGGAAGTAATTACCAAGCACACTGAAATCGCCATCCCTTGCCTTCAGTTGATTTTATTACACACGAACTTGTTATTCAACTTTATTATGATGATGTGGAAACAGTAAATCCTATAGGAACAAAAGCGTCCATACACAAGCTTGGAGTATTCTACTTTATTTTGAAATATTTTCCAGCTATTTTCAATTCTAATTTAGCAAATGTACATTTAGTTGCATTTACATATGTCAATGACATAAAAAAGTATGGCATTAATGCAGTTTTAAGAGCAATTGTTGATGATTTAAAGTGTATGGAGGATGGATTTCAAATTGAAGTTCAGGGTGAAGCAACTTCAAGACGTGTGCGATGCATTCTTGGTCAAATTACAGGGGACAACCTTGGAATTCATACTTGTTTAGGCTTTGTAGAGTCTTTTAATAGTGACTTTTGTTGTGATCTATGCACAGCTGACAAAAAAACAATGCAAAACAGTTTTAAAGAAATTCCAAAGCTTCAACGAACTGTAGCACAATATGAGGCATTTGTTAATAAATTAGCAGCACAGCAAGTTTATAAAGCTGAGTTTGGAATTAAAGTTGTAAGTATTTTGAAAGAACTTAAGTACTATCATCCGGCTAAAAATGATACTGGAGACATCATGCATGATATTTTGGAAGGTATAGCTCCTTTAGAAATCAAGTTAGTTCTTTATAATTTTATTTACATTCAAAATCTTTTTGATTTAAATTTGTTAAATAATCGTCTTAGACATTTTCCTTATGGATTAACATTACAAGACAAAAAACCCAGTCTGATAACTGAAAATCGTTTAAAAGATAACAGTTCTCTTCTCGGACAGAGATCTAGTCAAACAATGACTTTATTAATTGTCCAGCCTTTGTTGATTGGTGATAAAGTACCAAGTGACTCTGAACACTGGAAACTTTTGCTGCTACTGTTAAAAATTTCAAACATTGTATTTTCACCTGCAGTCCACAAATCTGACATGACATACTTAGCTGCTTTGATTGCTGACCATAACTCACTGTTCAAAAATCTTTTTCCAAATAAGAATTTAATGTACAAACACCACAGGCTTACACATTATCCAAGTCTAATCCTAAAAAATGGGCCACTAGCCAGGATGTGGTGTATGCGTTTTGAAGCCAAACACAATTTTTTTAAGAGAATAGCCCACATTGTGTGCAATTTTCGTAACATTGCGTACACTCTTGCATTTCGTCATCAACTTGCACAATGTAGTGAGTGGTGGAAAAAAACTGGTTTTAAACAAAGTCTTGTTGTGGGCACATTTACAGAAACACTTTTATATCTTGTGCCAAATGAAGAAACAATATCATCACATTTCGCAGATAAACATGTTGTTGTATATATTGCAAATTTTATTGAAGCCTATGGTACTGTTTACAAACCTGGAATGTCACTAATAGCAGACATTAATGAACATGGAGAGCCAACTTTTATTTGTATAGACAAGGTTGTGATAATGGACAAAAAAGCTCATTTGTTATGTCTTAATTTTAGGCTAATTCAGTTTGATGAGCATCTTCACAGCTACACTGTAACTTGTGATGACACCAACACTGTCAGCTGTTACACACTTGATAGTTTGCATGATTATCATCCTGTTTTTTCAGGTACATGTTACAATCCAAACTGTCATTTTGTGCACATTTCATTGCGTCACACATTATGTGCAGATAACACATAAATATGATATAATATGGAAGTCAAATATTTTGATTTGTAGAATGTACATTATAAGATTATCAATTTTACTTAAATAAGTTGTTTTTCTTGATACCATGTGTGTTTGTGTGCTTTGCTTTTGTATTGTATTATTTACTAGTGATACTTATGCTTTTTGAAATTACCAATTAATATAATTTGACCATTAATTATTTGATTTTGTTAATGTTAAATACTTTTTGTATATATATTCATATATATATGTATGCATATATATGTGTATATATATATATATATATATATATATATATATATATATATATATATATATATATATATATATATATATATATATATATATATATAATGTATATATATATATATATATATATATATATATATATATAATATATATATATATATATATATATATATATATATATATATATATATATATATATATATATATATATATATACAGTGCTCAAAGTGGAGAAAAAAAGTAACAGGATAGTATTCAGTAAATTAAAAATATCATCCCACCTAACCATCCTAATCATTGTTATATACAGAGATTTTAAAAAAGGTGGCCAAATGGTTTATACTTTAAAAAAAGGCGATGACATCATGCCCCACTTCAAGCACTGTATATGTAACTTTGAGATTTTTATTGATACTTGTCTCTAATATATCAACAATTATGTATAACTTTTTTATTAACTATTGGTATTGAAATATGTATCAGTATGTAAATCGCTCTCTATTATCTCAATATTTGGATGAAGACAAAGGTGTTAACTTACATTATTCTTAGCATATTTGTTTAATTACAGAATGTACAGCCTCCTTGTCTTATCAATACCAATGAAGCATATATACCTTTAGAAAGCTCTGCATCTACATATACTGATGTAAGACAGTCTATTGAACCAACAACAACAATCACAACAGATCAAATAAGTTTTAATGTTGTCAGCAGTTCTTCTAGTAAAAGATAGTAACTGGTTAGGAAACCTTTAATATTTTAATTTTGAAACTTGCATTTTTTGGTATTAGTATGTAAAATCAGTTAATAAAACTAAATTTAATTAATTTTATTTTAAATTTAAATTAAAATTTATAAATAAATGATTTACTTCAAAAATTAAATGGGGAAGTAGATAAGTTATTAAACACAGCATAATAGTTTTTTTTGTTGTTGTTGTTGTTGCAGCTATCCCAATACAGAGAAAAAAAAGGCTTTAGCACTAGAAGTGATAAACCGCTTTCCAACCTTAAGAAGTGGTAATGGTGATGGTTATGTAAGTATTGTTATAAGTGTAATTGAAACTTTTATTTGCATATAAAATTTCAACTATTATCCCATTTTGGGAAATGGGATAATAGTTGAAATTTTTTTAGTTTAGTTTTACTAATCTTTATATTTTTACTTACTTATTTACTTAAGGATGCTTACTTCAGACAGTATGTTGAAGTATTACGAAACGGAAAAGTTAAAAAATATTCCCCATCAGGCTATATTGAAGAGCGTTTGAAAACGCTGAGAAAACAACTGCCAATTACTGACAAGCCACACAAGCCGCATCAGAAGCGCCTAAGAACAGATGCAGTTGATCTAGTCAATGGACCCATAACAGGTTTTTGCTTTAACTGTATGTTTGTAGAATGAATATTTGCATTAAGTATATATTTAAAATATATATTTATACAAATAACACTATTGTTGCAAAAGTTTGTTATTAATAATGGTAGAGTGTAATAATTTAATTATATGTTTTAGATATTTTAAAATATATTATTTAAAATATATTTTTTAATTTTCATTCTGATATATTAACAGTTTTATTCTATTTATATTTAATGGCGTATTTAAGTGCTGTATTCAAATATGCTGTTTAAAAAAATAGTAAAGATGATAGTTTCTTTAAATGCTGTATTATTATTTTATTATTATTTTCATTATTGTTTCTCATTAGAGTATTTTACAGAAGATGAAAGGGTGCTCACCCATGAACTTTTAAACAAGACACCTAACGAGAATCGCATAAAAATTATTATGGCATCAACTTATGAAAGTCGCAGTCTCTGGGTGAGGGAAGGAAGACCTTCCATAAAAACATTTTTTTCATCATTTCCCCCATTAAGAAATATTTACTCATCTGCGGTAAGCTTTTAGTTTGCTTTCAGTAATCATTGTGTAGTTAGTTGATGATATTATGAGTTGTCACTGTTGATATTAGTGGTAAACTTATAAACTAATTAAATTATTTAATAACAATATACTTTATTTTATTGAATTAACAATTACTATGGCATTTAGTTTGAAGAGGAATTCTGCAGAAGTGCACCCAACAGCAAACGGTAAGTGGATGGGCTGGGAGACTGTTTTTCACGGATCCTTTTGTATGCCAAAGGAAAACGCAAAGGGTTGTCAACCGATCTTACAATATTACTTGACGAAATAGCAGCTAACAACAACCTGCTTGAAGGTTTGTTTAATTTATTCATGTTTAAATAAAAATAGTTTCTTATCACCAAATGAGTTAGAATTAACTTATTAATTAAGTTTTTAAAAATTATATTGTTTTAATAACTTTTTATATGAGTATCTAATGGTAATATATGTATTTAGCAATATTTTTATAGATACCAAAGAAGAATACGCTCTATTACTACTTCCACTTATGTTACGGTTCCTATGCGAAATCGGCAACGTGCCTCGGTTGCTGAAGTTTGCAAGCGATTTATCCAGCTTCATCCTGTAAGCAATGGCTGCGTTTACTATATTGTGTACAATTTTTTAGCGGAGGTCTTAATTTTATGTTTAATTTGTTTAATATGCGTAAACTATATTTATATTACCTTTTATTAGTATGGAACTTCAATGGACGAAATTCTTTCTAAAATCATAAGTGACAGTATTAAACAACCAATAATTATTGCATTGGGTGTAACTTGCAACATTAGCCAATCCTTTATTGTTGTAGAAAACGAAGTTATTGAATCGCGTTGTATGGTATCTGCTGTTGATAAGTGTTTCAAGCTACACTACATCGGTCAAATTGAGTACGACCAAAGTGTTAGCCATGTTTGGCAGTTTTTGCAAGTGCATTTTTATGGGATCTTAGATAATGTTCCTATCTCAGAATGTGTACGAGATCTTGTTACTTTTTTAAAAGCACGTTAAATATATTTGACACTCTTTTAAATAAGCAACATCTGCACACATTGTGATATAGAAAAATTATTAATTGTTATTCAAATGCACGCATTAACAAAATCTTTTTTATTTTATTTGCAGTATATACTAAAAACTGTAATGTTTGTAATTATGATAACAACTTTTTTTAACTTAATTATTGTAATCATCTCTACCGGCAAATTATAACTAAATAACATGATTAATGAAATCAAATTGAATTCTATCAGCATAAATTTAAGTAACTGTAATCAAATACAGTTATGAATGTGAAATGTCCTGAATAATATAGTATAATATAGATTTTGAATCGCAACAGCATAACCATGTTAAAATAGGCGTGCCCAAAAACTTTACTTAACAAGATTAGGACGAGATTTTTTCATAATCAATTTTATCCACAACAAAAACGCCGACAATATAATATATATTATGTCGGTATAAAAAACCCGAGTTGACGAAAGTTTTTCCCTGAATATACAGTAATAGAATTCCTAAATTTCAGTGCATCAAAATCCCTGATTTTCAGAAGGCTTGGTTTCCCTGATTTCCAGAGAAAAAGAATTGGCTGAAATTCAGGCGATTACGCCTGAAAATCAATTGTGCCTAAACGCAATGATTAATTCAGTGAGTTTTCCCTGAATTTCAGTTGCGGATTCCTGATTTTGTTTAAGAGTGTACTGTTTGGGATTGGCTGCAAAATCACCAGCTGCTTATGAAGCACTAAATGATAAAAATAATTCTGGTTTTTTAATTTTACCAAGTCGTAGGCGACTACGTGACTATAAAAATTATGTGAAACCAAAATTAGGATTTAATAAAAATATAATCACAGAATTAAAAGATAAGATCAAAGATTTTTCAGCTCAAGAAAAATTTATTGTCCTAGTTCTTGATGAAATGAAAATTCAAGAAAATCTTGTTTGGGACAAACATTCTGGAGAGTTAATTGGTTATGTTGATTTAGGTGATCCTAGTGTTAATTTTGCAACATTGCAACAGGCAGACAAGCTTGCTTCTCATGTATTAGTTTTTTTAATAAGAAGTGTTGTAAATCCATTCAAATACAGTTTTGCAAACTTTGCAACTATAAATATTACATCAGTGCAATTATTTCCTCTATTTTGGAAAGCTGTAGGCATTTTAGAAATCTCTGTTGGTTTAAAAGTAGTTGCAGTTACTTGCGATGGAGCATCGTCAAATAGAAAATTTTTTAAAATGCATTTTAATCTGACTGAAAAAGAAGATAGAAATGGTAATGTTGATGTGACTTACCGCACTGATAATTTATTTGCTGATGATGGCGATAAAAGATTTATATATTTTTTTTTCTGATGTCCCTCATTTAATAAAAACAGCAAGGAACAGCCTTTCTCATTCTGGAACTGGTAAAAGCAATCGCTATATGTGGAATCAGGGTCAACATATTTTATGGTCTCATATAACTGATTTATTTTATGAAGATTTAAAATGTCAGTTGCATGCATGTCCAAAGCTAACTGTTGAACACATCAAAATAACTCCATTTTCAGCTATGAATGTTCGTTTAGCTGCACAAGTTTTAAGTAATTCCTGCAGTACTGCATTAGAAATCTATGCGCCATCAGATACTTCAGGAACTGCACAGTTTTGTAAATATTTTAATGATTTTTTTGATTGCTTAAATGTTCGTAATAAAAATGATTATATATTAAAACGCAACTCATTTTTGAAACCATTTTCTGACACAAATGATGTTCGATTTACATGGCTAAAAGAAAATTTTTTAAAATATCTTTTTGATTGGTTTTTATCAATTGAATCAAGACCTGGAAAATTTTTTAAAAAGTGATAGAAGTAATATGTTTATTACTTGGCAAACCCATGAAGGTTTAAAAATTACAGTTAATTCTATTGTTGAACTTGTGAGTTTTTTAATTAATAGCAATGTAAGTTATGTATTAACTGAAAAGTTTTGCCAGGATCCTTTAGAAAATTACTTCAGACAACAACGATCAATTGGTAAAAAAAAAGATAATCCTTCCTTGTTTGATTTTGGGTTCAATGATAATACCATTCGAAATCAACATATATTTCACCCAATTGCAGGTAACTGTCTAAATATTAATGAATCAAACAGAACAACAATAAAGGAGAGTATGAGTCGTATACCACGCAGAAAATGGACTTACTCTCAAAATTCTATCGATAAGAAAAGTTGATTTTTAATGTGATTTGATAAAAAACTCTCTTATGTCTCCTCGTACTGCTGAAAACAAAAAAATGAATTTGCATAAAAACGGCTATTTGCATAGCCACAAATTTTTTAAAAACATTAAATGGCATATAAATAAAATAAATTGTTTTTTGTTTGTTTTACTTTTGTTACAATATAAACCTATGCTTTTTATAGAACCTCTAATTTATAAAGATTTATATAAATATTTTACAAAATCTTTAATAACTGCAATTTTATATGGAACCGAAGTTAGGGGTGAAATTCTTAAAGCTTTTCTATTTTTCATAGGTACCACTGCAGGCCAACACCTCTCCTCCAAAACCTATCATTAGGGCCCCACAGTTTGAAAACATATTTTGAATATTAGCAATGACATTAGCTCCTCAAGTTTGTTTATGGGCTCTACAATTTTATGGGCCCTAAAATTTTCTACCCACTGATTAAGGGCCTGGGGGAGCCTATATATATGTATATATATATATATATATATATATATATATATATATATATATATATATATATATATATATATATATATATATAAATATATATATATATATATATATATATATATATATATATATATATATATATATATATATATATGTATATATATATATATATATATATATATATATATATATATATATATATATATATATATATATATATATATATATATATATATATATATATATATATATATATATATATATATATATATATAAAGGGCTGTCCATTAATTACGTCAACAAAATAGGGGGGAGGGGGGTCTGAAGCTTTTTGACAGTTGTTGACACGGGGGAGGGGGAAGGTCAAGTAAAGTTGACGTCAACAATGTTTTTGTTTTTAAAAATTTCATTACTCAAAAAACAGAAAATTAGGCGGTATTTTTTTCATTTGAGGGGGGGAGGGGGGGATAATCAAAAGTTGACGTAATTTTATAGGGGGGGGGGGTCTCTAAAAGTTTGACAAATTGTTGACAAGGGGGAGGTAAAAATTTCAAAATATTTGTTGACGTAATTAATGGACAGCCCCTAAGAGAGATAAAGTTGTTTCTAGGAAAGTGGGGAGGCAACAGGATAATTTTGCCCTAAGCCCTAATGATTTTAGGGGCATCAGGCAAAAATCAAGGACATTCTTTATATTTTGAAACACCAAATTTGCCTCTTACTCATCAATAAGGTTGTTGTGTAGAGGCAGGGCTATTATAAGGTATAATACCCCCTCCTCCCACCCCATCTAGATTTGTAGCCAACAAGTTGACAAATTTGGATCTAGATGTCAAATATAAAAATCAAGAACTTTGTTTTTAAGTTAGAAGATATGCTTATTACCCCCACCCCCCAAAAAAAATTATTTGCACACAAATAAATCTGGAACACATGATTTAGTAAGAATAACAAAAAAAACTTTTACTTTGCACCTATTTATTTAGATGTATGGTGTCATAATCTTGACCCAGTTGAGCTGGGAGAGGCCCATTTTATATATAATCTCAGATATAATCTGATTAATACAAGAGATGACTAGAATTTTGACATTTGGGTAAGATTTAATAGGCCAACTAGGATACTTTTTTTTTCCATTAGGGGACTAACTTAAAAAATTGATTTTGCCTAGCTAATTATATAAAATATTTTGCCCCTGATTATATAAATCTGGCACAAATATACACACTAAATAAACACACAAACACATACACACACACACACACACACACACACATATATATATGATATATATATATATATATATATATATATATATATATATATATATATATATATATATATATATATATATATATATATATATATATATAGCATTTGTTGTAGGTTGTTCAAACCGAGGTAGGAGGTAGTATCACTAGCGATAGTATCACAATAAAATTATATATATTATATCAGAAGTCTATTAGTCAGTCAGAGCAGAAAGTTAACATGAAAGTTTTCGTTTATTATAAATTTAAAACTATTATGTGTATATTATAATTTTGTACTACTATTTCATAAGAGTCCTTTGGGGTTAAGGTCCTAAATTCCTTATCAATCACTTATTGACACAAACAAATCAAAACATTTGACACAAAAAAAAATCTTTGAAAAAAAAATATTTTTTATGAAAAATAAATAACAGAGTTACTATGCCAATTATGCTTTTATGAAATTTGTTGCTATGAAAATAGCAGTTTTTGAATGTGATATTTCATTAAACTATTTATTCGAATCCAATAGATGTTTTTTTCATTTTTGAACGGAGT